ACGAATACAAAAAAAATGTGTTTCAGTAATAGTAGTAGTAGTAGTAGTAGTAGTAGTAGTAGTAGTTGTTGTTGTTGTGATACTAGTGAAACAATAGTAGTACAAATAGTAGTAAGTCGTTTAGTAGTAGCGATATAAATAGTTCTAGTTCTAATAGTTCTAGTTGTAATAGCAGTAGTGGTAGTAGTAGAAGTAGTAGTACTAGTGGTAGATACAGTGGACAACCCCAATACAAAAAGGAGTGGCAGCACAAGTAGTGAAGTGGTAGAAATATAATTGGTAAAAGCTGCATAGTAGAAGCGATATATATATATAGTATTAGTTCTAATAGTTGCAGTTGTAGTAGTAGTAGTAGTTGTAATAGTAAATATAATTGTAGTAATAGTAGTAGCAGACATAGTAGTAGTGGTAGTAGTAGCAGTAGTAGTAGTAGTAGTAGTAGTAGTAGTCGTAGCGGATGTAGTAGTAATAGTAGTGACAGCAGATGTAGTAATAGTGGAAGTAGTAGTAGTAGTAGTAGTAGCAGATGTTGTGCTTCAATATACAATATAGTGGTTGTATATCAAATGCAGTAGTACAATTGATAGTCAGTGCACAAGTAGTAGTGGCAGTAGTAGTATAGTATATTGTATATAGTATATAGTATAGTAGTAGAAGAGTTTTAATAATAGTACTAGTTGTGGTAGTAGTAATATTAGGAGAAAGGGTAGTAGAGGAAGCTGTAGGTACAGTAAAAATACGAATACTAAAAAAAAAAAATGTGTAGCAGCAGCAGCAGCAGCAGCAGCAGCAGTAGTAGTAGTAGTAGTAGTAGTAGTAGTAGTAGTAGTAGTAGTAGTAGTAGTGGTGATACATGTGAAACAGTAGTAGTATAGGTAGTAAGTGGTTCAGTAGTAGTAACAGCAATATAAATAGTACGAGTTTTAATAGTTATAGTTGTTGTAGTAGCAGTAGTACCTGGAGGGGAACAGATTTAATCACAATCAGTATAATTACTACTTCCTATTACTTTGCATATATTTTCATGAGTCCTCACTTGACCTGAGTTTAAGCAGCTCCGGGACAGCTGGAGTGTTATAAGCCACGTTTTCCACAATCCCTGAACGCGCCACACGCAGAGACCTTTCCGAAACAGCAGGGGGCCCCACAAGTCATTAAGAGGCTGTCTCACACCACAGGCCACTGGGTTTGGGCCCCGAGAAAGAAAGATGCAAAAAAAAACATGTCTTGCCCCGTACAGATGTATTGCATAAGCAGCTCCAGAGGTAAAGATAAGTTGTGTACAATCTATGTCTATTTATAAAAGGATTTTATTGTCCGCAAATCAGGAAGTAGCACTGATGCGATGTTAGCATACACTTTATTGTTGCTTTGATGGTAAAACATGCTTATACATTTCACAGTGAATAATTAGGATGCTCTGAATGCATAAGGTAAGTGAAGAATAACTTTGGACCACTACAAAATGGTTAAAAAGGACTAGTTCTGTTTTTCAGGTTTCTGAGACAAAAAAAAAAAAACGTCAGAGTTTATTCCATTAAATGTTAGAACAATTATTTTTAAAGGTACTCTCTCTATGTCATTTCTGGTGATGGGTTTTGCTTTTATTCAATTGCAGGTGTTTTTATTGCTACAAAATACCAAGGAGAGTCTGCTCTTTTTGGATCTAACCTGTAACTGATGGCGTCGCCTGCTTGTGGTCATACGGGCTTGTAAAACCCTGATCCCGTTAGATCTCAGAAGCTAAGCAGTGCCGGGCCTGGTTAGTACTTGGATGGGAGACCACTGGAAAAATCAGGTGCCACAGTGGGGCGTCAGTGGTAATAACTGTTGTTGTGTCCTTAGGCAAGACACTTCACCCCACATTGCCTAGTATGAAAGTGGTGTGTGCCTGACTGATGGCGACGATTGGCATGGCAGCTGTGCTTCTGTCAGTCTGCCCCAGGGCAGCTGTGGCTACAATAGTAGTTTACCACAACCAGGTGTAGAGTGAGGTGATGATGTATGTGACATAAACATGTACGCGATGTGAGCTGATCTGACCAGAGTTTTGAGTCGTGGGCAGTGTAGATGGAAATACTACAGCAGAGCATATTCAACTTTTCCACTCTGGAGGGTAGTTTCAGATTTTTGTGTTTTTAAGCCCCAAAACGCCATCACCGTCTAAACGAAAGGCATTTCTGATTGTAACGTAGGTTGACCGTGAGCAGCTTGGGGTTCAGTGAGCAAGGTAAAAAACAAATCCAGACACAGACCGGTACTTGTGGTCCACAGTTTACTTTTGTTTTTTCAATGATTACAAAAGTGCAAGTGCAAAAAGTGCAGGGTGCAAAACGAAGGCAGGCAGCAGTTTCCTCTCCAGCAGCAGAACACAGACTGATCTTGAAGGCGCCTTTTATGCTGGTCCTACTGATTGGATAAAACCACTATGCTAAAACAGGGATGGTTAAAATTATCATTAGCGTAAAATTAAAACCTAAACCTCCATAAAACAACCCAAAACCCAGATAACTATTAAAACCACCAACTATATACATAAAACCCTAAAACCATTACACCAATTAAATGTTAAAACCCATAAACCAATAAAACACCTAACCTAAAACCCCTGTACAAAATGTTACACGTGGTCCAGCCCGGAACCATAAAAGAGGGAGCTCATTTCCGGGGGACTCTTTTCCCACCTGGACAGAAGATAAAAGGAGGAGGTAAGTAAAAGCAGATTCACACCATTCATTAAAACACAATAAAATACACTAAACACATCAACACTTAAAACATTCTAAAACAGATATTGCACCATATTTATTGCACAACGTCAATTTAAAATGTAATTTGTTATTGTCTCCCTTTTCCTCCAGGGACAAGCAACTTCCAATTAAAGTGCTGTGCCTCAGGAATAAAAAATGGTTAAAGGAAAGCCAATAAATATTTTTTAAAACCAATTGTGTGCAATTTATTTTGTGATGTGCAAATATGTTAAAAGTGCTGTGTGCTAGGAAAGTGCAGTGTTTTAAAGTGCTCTAGTGAAGGGTGAAGGTGCTAAGTGTGGTTCTAGGGTAACAAACCAGCCTGTTTGTTACACTGATAAAATATTTGTCGTTTTTACCCGCAAGCATTCTCCTGTAAACAGACCCTGTAATTGCTGCGGTCAGGCTTGTCATTTTGGTCTTAAAAATGTATTAATCTGATCTACATGTTTTGTGTTTTAATTCCTAATATGGAACTCAGCTCCAAATTCACTCCTATAACTACATACCTCGATGAGCTTCATTTGACTGGAGAGAACGCTATGGGTGATGTCACACTGCCTTAGTCCACTTCTTTAGTCTATGGTTTTTAAGCATATTAAATATTAAAACAACACCACAAACTTATTATATTTATACAAATACTCTGGTAGTCTATACATTAAAGGTGCACTGTGTAACCTTTCTGGTGAACGATCCAACACTTGTTGTCTTTCTGTGGAGATATTGCCTGCAGTGTTCCACAGTATGAAATTACGTTTATCTCTACAGAGACTACAGCTGACATCACAGGGCGAAATTACATGGCAGATCTGTGGAGAGACGAGCCCACTCACAGTAAGAATGCAAGTTTTTAAGTCAATAAAAACCCATGTTAGTGAGTAAATGCAAGATGGTTTAATGCCATACCGGAACATTCCATACAAAGCAACAACATCTCCAAAGAGACGAGCAGGTGTCAGACCCTCCACCAGAAAAGTTACACAGTGCACCTTTGAGTAATTTGTATTTTAATGGGTAGTTTAGTACATATATTACGCTTTGATAAAACCTATCTTGGAGACACAGTGGGCGAGCTATAGGAGCTGGTGTGCACAAGAGCCTATTGACCGATCTGAGACGTATAATCTACCCAAGGCTTAAGGAGGGAGATTGTGCCTTTAAGATCAATGGAGAGAAAAGTATTGGCGCAGGTGGTTTTATGTAGTTGTAAAGCTGTTTGACCTCTACTTTGAACCTGAACAAACCCACATAGGCTTGTCATGAAAGCACATATTATATATTACTACACAGAGATACTGTGTTAAACTATAATAGTGAAAACACTTTATGACAGTGACACAAAGCGGGATAATCCCAGTAAACCACTTTTTAAATAGACAGTCTCATTAAAAAGCCTGAACCGATAATTAGCCATAGAAGTGATTTATTCAACTCTACAGCTCAGATCTTCTTCTTACACAAAAATGGCAAAAAATATAGTAATTATCTTGGCAGGCCTTCAACAGGCTCAAGAAGTTTGTAACTTTAGGATCAATGGGGAAAAGAAAGAAAGAGAGAGAGAGAGAGAGAGAGAGAGAGAGAGGGAGAGAGAGAGAGGAGAAGAGAGAGAGAGACAGAGAGAGAGAGAGATAGAGAGAGATCTGATCTTTCCAGACTGCTGCAGTCTTGAGCGTTAATCATTAATTAATGAATCAATGGATTTATATAGGGAGCACTGGTGCCCCACTGTGGCACATGGTTTTCCAGTGGTCTTCCATCCAAAAATGAACCAGGCCCAGCCCTGCTTAACTTCTGAGGTCTGATGAAATGAGGCTTTGACAAGCTGGTACAGCCATGGTATGGCTTTAGTCCTGGTTTAGACCTGGATTAAGGAGATTACTGAGCTCCTGAAACAAGCACACAGGGCAGTAAACAGGGACGAGGGAGTCAACTTTCAAGGACCGTAATCACCGTAATGATGACTTGCAATTGAAAACATGTCAAAGTATGTGTAAACAGCACACTGGTCCATCAAAATGAGCCTTTATTTGGAAATTATATTGGAAGACCAAGTGAATCTCTTTGAAGTCCCCTGGTTTATTCCAGGACTATACCAGGACTAAACATGGTATAGTCCTGGTATAGTCACAGCCGTCTGGACCATCTCCACACAGCTGTGACTATACATATAGGATCTTGAGCATGGCTTTAGTCCTGTTTTAGTCCTGTTTTAGTCCTGGTTTAGTCCTGGTCTGGTTCTGGTCTTACCTATGCTGATGGTCCACACTGCTGCGATCTTGAGCATGGCTTTGGTCCTGGAGTTGAAGCGGCTGTGCTCAATGGGGTTCCTGATGGCCACATAGCGATCGAGGGAGATGGCGCACAGGTGCATGATGGACGCCGTGGAGAAGAGCACGTCCAGGTAGATCCAGATGGGACAGAGAGAGAGTGGGAGGGGCCAGGCGTAATCTGTGGAAAGAGAGAGAAACAAGTGAGGAGAGAGAGAAAGAACAGGTGAGGAGAGGTGGAGAAAGAAAGCGAGATGGGCCAGGTGTAGTCTGAGAGAGAGAAACGAGTGAGGAGAAGAGGAAACAGACAAAAACAATAGTCTGGAAATGTATGAACAAATACAAAATGGATTTAAACCACAGTGGAGCCTGTGATCAATGTGAGCGTTAATGGTCCTGTTTAGAGTTTGATTTTCAACAAAAAGGTGAAAGTGACTAACTGAAAAACTGTTGTCTAATACTAGCTTGTGATTAGACTTAGACAAATTTTATTGATCCACAAGAGAAATTATTTGGAGCTACTGTACCCTGCTACCACTCTCAGTGTGTGAATGAATGACTGTTATGTGATTGTATGTATGGATGACTGCGTGAATGAGTGATTGTATTTTTATGACTTATTTTACAAACACAAATCAGTCAATTCTTTATGATCAGATTGTGTTAATACAAAGATCAGATTAAAGTCTTAAGGCTGCCACACAATACAGGATTTCTCACTCTTAAACTAATTTTTAAATGTGCAACACAGACATAAGGAGAATTGCATGATATTTTAAATCTCTAATCACAAAGACTGCTGAGTGATACGGCTGCGTAAAACAGTCTAAAACTGTGAGCACATCTTGTATCAGCTCCTGTCTACAGTAAAACCACTCGCTTTGAGACTCTTAAAGTGCCCATCTCATGCAACATAACTCTTTTCACATTGTATCTTCTGCACATGTACAAGCACAATTTGGGTTTTGGAACATCCATTACACAATAGTTATGAAATCTTACTGATTTCTTGGAGACAGACACAGACGAGGAACTATGAAAGTCCGACTATTGCTCATCCCCCCGCCCGTCCTGAGAAAGCACAGGCTCCGCCCTCCAAACGTGACGTAGACTCTGAGTGAGCCGCCCTTCCTCCGCCCATCTCAGGGAGGGAGGGGGAGACAGACGTGCACCCTGATAGTGGTAGGAATAAACTTTTATTCATCATGGTGATACGGCGCGTTCAGCCGCATGTGTTGGACCCGGAATCAGACGAGGACTTTGAGGTGCACGAAGCTCAAGCACCACGTCCACATCAGCTGAACATTACTGATTGGTAAAGTATTAATAAACACTAGTAGATAAATTTATTACATCGTGTACACTGCAGTGTAGAACAATGAGCTTATGCTGTCACTTTGGTTTAGGTGTTCATGTGGGAATTGTCAGCCGATGCAGGGTGGAAGCGGTGGAGCGGGGGAGGGGGGTGGGTGCGAAGCGCTTTCTGCTACGTCAAAAACATCATAGGTGTAGCTGCCGTGTCATCGTTGTAGCAGCTTTAGTTCGTTGTCACGTGGGAGGGTGGCAGAAATATGCTGAAATTTGTTAAAAACGCTGAATCAATCTAAAAACGACTTTGGCGACATATACAAGGCCCACACATCACTCTTAGAAGGTAGAAACCTCTGAAAAGTTGATTTTGCATGAGATGGGCCCTTTTAGTGTTCAAAAGATCAGAGCACTGCACTTCTAGTTTAGATACAAGTCAAACTTTGTTGATGATTATGACTTAAATGTGGTGCAATACTTCAGATACATGATTTTTTATGCACAGAAGGTTGACGTTAAAGGTCATAGTAAGTAGAGTTTTATCGCTAATCTGCAGCTTCACCTTGATCCGTACGCTAAACACACACACTTGAGGAACTAATTTTGTCTTTTTACATTTGAAGAGGTTTTGTGGACTAGATGCCATTATTATAGAGGACAAATTCTATGGATCATGTGGATGAGACCCTGCAGTTTAAAGGGCCCATCTTATGCAAAATCAACTTTTCAAAGCTTTCTACCTTCTAAGAGTGATGTGTGGGCCTTGTATATGTTGTATATGTGTTTTTTGCTGCAATTTTTACAAACTGCAGCATATTTCTGCCACCCTCCCACGTGACAACAAACTAAAGCTGCTACAACGATGACGCGGCAGCTACATCTATGACACGTTTGACGTAACAGAAAGCACTTTGCACCCACCCCCCTCCCCCGCTCCACCGCCTCCACTCTGCATCGGCTGACAATTTCCACATGAACACCTAAACAAAAGCGACAGCATAAGCTCATTGTTCTACACTGCAGTGTACACGATATAAAACGTTTATCTACTAGTGTTTATTAATACTTTACAGTAATGTTCAGTTGATGTCGACGCGGAACTTGCTCTTCATGAACCTCAAAAGTTCTCGTCCAATTCTGGGTCCAACACATGCGGCTGAACGTGCTGTATCACCATGATGAATAAAAGTTTATTCCTGCCGCTATCAGGGTGCACGTCTGTCTCCCCCTCCCTCCCTGAGATGGGCGGAGGAAGGGCGGCTCACTCAGAGCCTACGTCACGTTTGGAGGGTGGAGCCTGTGTTAGGACGGGCTTGGGGGATGAGCAATAGTCGGCCTTTCATAGTTCCTGGTCTGTGATGCCTCCAAGAAATCAGTAAGATTTCATAACTATTGTGTAATGGATGTTCCAAAACCCAAATTGTGCTTGTACATGTGCAGAAGATACAATGTGAAAAGAGTTCGCATGAGATGGGCCATTTAAATTTACAACTTTTCAGGAGGTGAGTAATAATTATTTTCACTATTTCCTGAGTTTGTATCTTGGGCCTCTGTGTCCGTAACTCCTTCTGCTCCTTATACTCCAAATCGCCCACGAAATCACAAAGTTGGGTCACGCCTCCCCGAACTCAACCCCAGGCAACTGTGACTGAAGTGAAAAATTTACCAAAACTTGCAATAAAAACTTTCCTAATTTTTCCCTCTAGAACACAATGTTAATTATAGTATTTCTGTCAGTTAAAGATGCATTATGTAACTTTTCTGGTGAAAGTCTGATTGTCCCCATGAAGATTTTAAGAGATGCTTCACCTGGAATGTTTTACAGTATGTCATTAAACATATCCATTTATCTTTTATTCAAGAGCATGTGTTTATGACCAAAAAACAAAAACAAAAACTTGTAACTAGATACTCATGGTGCAGTGGACACTCAACTTGGCTTAGCTTAATTGGTTTGATTAAACATTTTAATTGGACACTGGCTCTATATACAAGCCTCACTCTGCTTCAGCCAAGGACCATTAAAAATCAATTGCAATTAACACATTGAATGAAAATTAGCCATTACCTTGAGTCGGTGTCTATTTTTAGTTGTGTGCATTGAACGCATCAGTACAGAAAGCCCGGTCTGTTCCAGGGACCAGGGCTTTAATTAAAAAAACACACATCAAATGCACAGGAGGCTCCCAAGGTCCCCAGGGTAATCAGGTAAAGATGAGTGTAGAAATGTGTTACTATAGCGATAAAAGATAAAGCGGGAATTAACATACGGAGATTAAATGATGAGATGTTACGGAAGAGGCATACAAAATGTCTAAAGCAAGAATTCATTTGTGGATGCGCAACAATAAAAAGAATCATTATTAATTAAAATTTCTATATTACACAAAACTGACTCTTGTGAGCTTTTAGCTGAGTTGTGTTTTGTTTCTCCACACATGTTTGGGTAATCTTGCATTATTAGTCTGTGTATATCTCCAAAGCTCAAATTGCTCTGCTCCACCTTGTGATGTCATGTAGTGGTAGTTTTCAAGTTACTTTTATCTTTAGTTGAGTAAAGTTTGGTCTTAATGGTTCTACTGAACTTCTACTGTGGAGTTTAAAAACACAATGGAGCACTTCCTGTATTACCACATGACATCACAAGGTGGAACAGAGGTTAGAAATTAAAAAAAAATTGTGCAATTGTATCTACAGTAATTGTTTAAACAATCTCTTCTTTTCGATGTTAAATTGATACTTTGCAGTTGCCATATTTTCCTCACTATAGGGCGAGCTCTTAAGCCTCCAACCCCATCAAAAAAGCGCATGCCCCGCAATCCAGAGCAACCTATACACGGACCCACTCGGGTGTCCCAGCACGACTTCAGTAAACTATAAAGCCGCACCACCTGCAGCACACACAAACACCAAAAAAGCGAGTGCAATGTGCCACTTCTAGACACAACTGAACAACTGAGTCACTACGAACACGCCGACAATCCATTGGTCCCAGACAGCACCCTCCCTACACGCCACAACTGAACAAAGCCCAGAGTCACCGTGAACGTGCCAAACAAAGTCCCACTGACCCATCGAAGTGTTGTGTTTTGTTTAAAGTCTGGTGCGGTTTATTTGTGAAAAAAGTTTGAAAAGACCATTCAGTGACAGTGCGTCTTATAATCCAGAGCGCCCTATAGTGCGGAAAATACGGTGCATCATACTATGGGTGTTCTGCGTGTACTGCATGTGCATTGTGGAATCTTCAGCAGTTGCCATGGTGACAAAGTGGACACATTAGCAAACACTGCAAAAAAAAAAAAATTGTCTGACAACTCATATACTCAAAATACAAAATGGATTCAAACAGCACATTTTCAGGAGACTATGATGAATACACACGTTCATGGTTCTGTTTAGGAGTTTGATTTTCAATAAAAAGGTGAGAGTGACTAAGGCTACGTTCAAACTGCAGCCTGAAGTGACGCAAATCTGATTTTTTCATCCTTATGTGACCTGTATCTGATCTTTTAATGACAGTCTGAACGACACGGATCCGATTTTTTTCAAATACGACCCAGGCCACTTGGATATGAGCTCCTGAAACCGATACATATCCGATCTTTTGACATGCGACTTCAGTCTGAACAGCCAGGTCACTTTCATCCCACCTACACGTCACAAATGTACACAAACGCTCTTCTTGTCATGAGAAAATTGTATATGAACTCTGTGTGAGTGAAGCAGTGAAGCACATCGCAATCCCACCACTCCACACCCACATGTTCCTTTCTACGGACATTGCTCCCGTTGTCCCACAAAACGCCATGGCTCCTTCTCAATCTCCTCCTTAAAACAAATAAGCTGTACATGTTCTCGCTCCTACAGCAACTT